TCTGACTGCCCACTGAGCATTTTGGGGCCTTTTTGCTTGGATATGATGGCTAAAGAGACAGAGAGGCCCAGAAATTCTTAATCTGGTCGTAACTTGCCAAATGAGTTAATAACTTTAAGAATTTTAAAAATATTAACTTCAAGAAAGCATTGTTCAACTCAAGAGTTGTCATCTATCATGGAAAAGCAGGATGTCATTTCAGAATCTGCCTGAGGGCATTCTGCAAGGCCCTTCCTTATGCTCCAGTGTTAAACATCATTGGATCTGGGGAAATTCTTCCTTCCGTGAAACTCAAATTACCCCACTGGTAGTTTGAGTCTGACTCATTTTTTTAGAGAAGCAGTGAGGAGGGGGTGGCAAAGAGTAGCGAACTTGGATAGACTTGAATTCCTAGAATTTACAGCTGTGTAATTTGGGACAAAATAATTAACTTCTGTGGGCCTTGGTTTCCTCATCTGTAAAACGTGGATAACAATGACTATCACTGAGGGTTGTTGTAAGAATTAAATAAGAGAGAGTCCAAGGGAGTTGCTAGTGCACTGCCTGACACAGAGGAGTCCCTGAGTAAGTAGCTGTTAACCTGGAATCCCTTTTTGAGTCTTTAATATGAATATACATTAAATGAGATATGAGGTGTGTTGGATGGTGGGGGATGGAGGTGATTTTCTTGGAGTATGAGGCTGAGACAAGGGGAGGGAGACTCAGGCACACCACTTTCAGTGCCTGGTAGATGGATCCTCCATTTGCTCTCTCACTTCCCTGCAGCTCACGGAGAACCGGGACTGTGGGCCCCATGTCTCCACTTTCTGCAGTTGCTCTATCATTGCCCTGGGTGTTGTTGCCCAAAGTCAGTCAGAAGAGAAGGTACCTGTGTGCCTCTGACTGGCCCATGTCTTACTTCTTCCATTTCATTCAGGCTGATTCCAAGCTGGGAAAAGACACTTGGGGTCAATAGTAGGGTATTGTCTGTGGAAACAGCATAGAGAATTTGGGTCTGGGACAAACATGATTTAGGAACCATAATAGAATTTATCCATTTCATCCCGAGAAAGGGCAAACAATTTCTTCCCCTGCCTTTTCTTAGGCCACCTATGCTCTGGCTTGTAGGATATGGCTGCACATTATTTTCTCTGAAACTTCCTACAGCACTTAAATGAATTAGATGATTTCATAATCCTACAGTGTTTTCATTAAAAGTGGATTTAAAAAAAAAGAAAAGAAGTTCTGGGAATTCTCAACCTGGTGTTGCTTTACTGGTATGTAAGAAGTTGAATTTGAAAGTGACTCTCCTTGGAAATATCATTGAGTGAAGGCAAAAGCCTAAAAATAAAATAAGCATGGGAAACTCAGTCTTAAGAGGTGTTGCCAATAAGAGAACAAAGGAGGCTAGTAAGTGGTCATGGAGCATCTAACAAAATTTTGTGTTCAGGGTAAAGGGAAGAGTTCTCAAAGCTGAAGATTCCTTCCACAAACATCATAGTTTTATAAATTATGATTTTATTTTCTAGCCATATCATTCCTCCTGAAGCACCTGGGGCTCCGACAATGCAATTTATTTTTGCACAGGACATTATATCATGTCCTGTCATGATACCATGTATCTTCAAGGACATGATGTCACACTTCAGAATCAATTTTTCTTAATGGGCATTTCAACAGCCCTTCCGTGGGGGGATAGCTTCTGAAGGACGTGCATGCAGAGGGATAGAAAGGAGCCTTTCTTCACAGGGATGAGAAGTTTGCTTCTCTTTGGGCTCAATCACATTGAGGACATTCTTTAAAGTCTCATTTTTGCTCAGATTCCCGGTTTATCCATCTATGAAATGGTATGAAAAAATATATTTGCTAAAAAAAAAAAAGACTTCCAAAAATTGTCTAGCTCAGGGGTCAGTAGACATTTTCTGTAAAGGTCCAGATAGTAAATATTTTCTGTTTTCATTCTCAAGTCGGCCCAAAAGCTGCCGTAGACAATATGTAAATAAATGGATGAGGCTGTGTTCCAATAAAACTTTATTTATGGACACTGAAATTTGAATTTTGCATAATTTGCGTGTGTCATGAAATATTGTTCCTCTTTTGATTTTTTTCAACCATTCAAAAACGTAAATATAAGTTCGTAGCCATATAAACATAGGCCATTGGCCCGATTTGGCCTACAGTCTGTAGCTTGATGACCCCTGCTCTAAGAAAAGAGGGGTCTACACATCCAAAACTGCCTTAATGACTATTTTTCAGCATAATTTTTGCGCAGTGTGAATCACTCAGACAGTGGCTTCTCTTTCGTGATGTCACTAGTAAACCAATGGGCAATCATAAAATTGGGGTGGAATTTTCTCTCTCTCTAGAGGCACAGATACCATCCACAAGGAAACAAGAAGTTGAATATGCATGTGTGCACATGCGTTGGTAGACATTTGAGCTCTATATGTGTAGAAGCCATAAGTCTACTTGGTAGGGAGTAAGACGGGTAAGAGAGAGGATTCTTTTTAACATTATCAGAAGCAGCTGAGTTATATTCCCTCTGTTTAATAATCACAACACTAGACTTACAGCTCTTATCAAACCATTTCAGTGGGGTCTGCATCATTTCACCAATTTCAACAAACTGTCCCAGCGAGGAGGGCGATTAGACTGTGTATGTTTACTCTCTGTGGAGTTATGGCTGTGTTCTCCTCAAGAGAACGAGATATGGAAATAGAAGTTTACTTAGTCGGGTCTCTGATGGCTTCCTGTGACAAGAAAAAGTTGGCAGTCTGTGCTCAGGTGAATGAAAGTGAAATTCTTCACGGCATCCTTCCCTCTAGAGAGGCAAATTCTTAAAGGAGTGGGGGTCAAGGAGGGGCCCCACGCTCTCTGTTCCAGTTGTAGCTGGGGCTGTGAGGCCTGGAGCAGAGGCCTGCAAAGCAGGGAATGTTGGGGAGGTCAGCGTGGTGAGCATACCACAACATTGGAGCTGAAAAGAGGCCCAAGCAACTATTCTTCCCCATCTAGAAAGGGAGACAGAGACCCAGAGGGAAGGACATGATTGCCCAAGGCTCCCCAGGGTCAGGGAACCAAAAGGTCCAAATGAGATGGATCAGCCCAGGCCCCTTCTGTCACTCTGCACCGCACTGGGGGCCCAGAGACCAGCTTGGCCTCCCTTGGCCACTGATGGAGGTGACCCCTGATTTTTCAACTTATCCACCAGAGACCAGGTTCCACTAGGTTCTCCCCAGGCACCATCATGGGGCAAGCGTGGTGGTGTGACTGTTGACATTGTTCACCAAGCAACTTGACTTTCACTCCCCCAGGCCCACAGCTGGCCAGGGTGGGGCCATTCCACTACAAGTCAAAGGATGTCAGAGTTTATTCCAGACCCACACCAGCTTTCCACAGAGGGATATTTTAGCAAAAATCTTAGGCTGAACACTCCAGGGGAGACCCAACCTTGATGAGAACAGGAAACTGGGGAAATATGGAGAAATTTTTCTGAAGCCTCCAGAGGCTCCGTATGACTGTTCTAGAGGCAAGGACATGACCAGAGCCTAGTCTCAGGCTGCTGCGTCTCCCTCATGAAAGGGTTGGGCATAGGCCTGTGCCCATGACTCCCCTCCCCCCCCCGCCCCACCGCCTCCAGGGTGCTGCCAGGGACAAATGACACATGACTAGTCTTGGGGTAGAGACCTCTAGCATCAGTTGTGTCCTCACTTTCCCTCCTTAGCCCTCAGGCTCCTCATCTGTAAAAGGCCCCGCGCTGGGTGAGACGATTTTAGGCCTTTGCCATGCTAGTATTCTTTCTTAAATGCTGGGCACCGTTTGCACTACTTTTGATCATAAACTCCACTAATAACTTCACAACTTGCTGTGGAATGGGAAGATAATGCCAATATGACAAAGGAAAAATTGGCAATCTAGACACATATATCCAAGGTATCAACTTCAAAACTCTTCATGTATCTTGATTAAAGAAAAAAATTTGCACTTTCTAGACCAGGGCTATAAATTTTCTCATGGAATCCTGACAAGAACCAGTGAGAAAATTAAAGCTGAGAGAGAGAAATTTGCCCAAAGTTGTAAAGCCAGTAAGTGGTAGACCCAGTGCTTGAACTTGGGTCTATTTGGCTCCACATTCCCCATTATGCTATAAGACAAAGACAAGATAATCAACCTTTCATTTATTTTAACCACCCCTCTCCCACCAAAAATCCCCCCAAACAAACTTCTTTCTGATTATGTGTCTTTCCTTTAAGGTCAGGGGCCAGGGACCAGTTTGTAGCAAAGATTCCCTTCGCAACCCAGATAGGGATCATAGTACTTGAGGGACATGCTATGCTAGTCAAGCAATCTCAGCACCCGCAGGGTCATTCAACAGGCACAAGAAGTGGCAAAAGGTGGGCTTGTCTAGGGCTGAATTTTGGAAGCTTTTCCCAAAATTTGGGCTCTGCTTTTTGCTTCTCTCTGTGCCTTGGCCTGAGCTGGTCATAGGTGGCCAGGGCCCTTTGCTTCTTGGGTTCACAGGCCATCCCCAAGTGCTGTTAAGGAAGTACATTATTAGCCGGGAACCTATTGCCAGGAAAGACCAGATGGACGTTTTCAACGTAGATGCACAATTGTGTGGGGGGGGTCACAGAGGAAGGGAGAAGGAGAGATGGTCCCAGTCTCAGGAGTTCATGTGTGTACATCCAATGACACCAAATGCCTGGTGCGTCCAATCTGTTTCCCGCTGTCACAGGGAGCCGGTGAAGAGCTCCAGCTGCAGTGGGGTCAATGTCAGCAAGGCCTGAAGAGCAGCCTCATGGCTAAAATTGGAGCATTGTGTGGACCAGGAAGATGGGAGTGGGTGGGAGAATGTGGCTGTGGGGAATCCTCAGGGAATGGTTCTGTCCCAAGATTTCAGTTTATCTTGGGTGGAAAAGGAGTTCCCCTCCAATGGCCTGGCCAAGAATGTTGATGTCACAAGGAAAGGGAACAGAGTTTGATTGTGTGTCACATAGAACTGGGAACAGACTGCTGTACTTAGAGGGACGTCCTTATCAATTAGGTAATGTCTGCTAATGATTGAGGAGCTGTGTTAGGCAGTGCTCCAGCTGTTGATATGTTAGCAAACATCTGCAAAGGGCACTCGTACCTTGTGGGAAAAACTTTTCTTAGTCTGGATCCCACTGGTCCAAGCCCTGAAAGACTGGCAGACCCAACAGCATCTCACAGGGCATCTGAAACAGAGGAACATGGCAGAAATGTGGACTGGGCACAGGAGGCAGCTCTGCTTGGGATGTTGGTTCCATCTCCAGGAGGTAAAAGTTTGTTTGTGCAGAAATGATGACTGTAACCAAATTTTCTTTCCCTCTTCCTCCAGCCTTCCTTCCTTTTCCCCTTCTTCCCTTTTCTTCTCTTTTCCCTCTCTCCTTTCTCCTTCTCTTTCTCCCCTTCCCTCCCTGTCCTCCTTTCTTTCTTCTTTGAAATAGTAACATTCAATGACATCCACAATATATAAAAATCTGGGCTAAGTGCTGGGCGTACAAAGGTAACAAAAGTGCCTTGCCCTCAAAAGGATAATAGCTGGAGGCACAAAATCAATGTGGAAACTGACAGATGTAAAAAATGTATAAAAGAATACAATGGTAGAAGTATATAAGCTCTACAGTAGCCAACACTTATGCTTTTAGAAAATGTAACTGGTTTTATTTAATGTTCTCTCTCTTGTATCTCTTTTTTAAAATAACACATTATAGGGTGTAAACTTTAAAAGATCAACAAAGTTATCCCTAATCTCAACAACCAGTAAGGGAAATGTCTGAAGAATATGCATACGTAGTCTGTACATGTCTATATATGTATATAGACATATTTTAAAACAAGAATGGGATATTACTATTCATGCTGTAGTGTACTCTTTTTGCTGGACAAATTATTGGCATTTTTCAGGACTAATAAATATAGATTTTCCACCTTATTTTTCATCGGTTACATAGCAGTCCATCAAACAGAGGGTCCATAATGAACTCTGCCAATTCCCTGTTGCTAAGAATTAACATTGCTCCCAATTGGGGGACACGATTTTTTTAAAAACATAGCAAAAATCATTGTAACCAAATAGTTACACATTTGTCAGATTATTTCCTTAGGACAACTTCCTAGAGGTAGATTTCCAGTCAGGATATGTACACATTTTTAAGACTCTGTGATACATAGCCCAACTATTCCCCAAAAAGTTTACATCCAAAGATGATATCCTTGCAATGTTTTCCAATTGAACAGTTGAAAAATATATCTCGTTTTTAAATGGACATAATCCATTACAAAGAAAATAAACCAAATATTTTAAATTTATGCATTTGACTTTTGAGATTGCTATTTTATTAATTTTGCTTCTACTTATTGTTATATTTTATGTGTCAGAGTCACTAATATCTTGCCATATATATTTGAACTATTTGCCCAATTTTTCATTTACCTTTTAAGGTTTTTTTTCTTTTTCTCCTGTATAGGAGATTGGTTTTTTAATGTAATACAGTTGATCAATTTTTTCCATTATGGTTGCTGCTTTTGATGTCATATTTAAAAAGTAACTCTCTACTGTAAATAAATATAAATATTTACATATACTTTATTTTAGTGTTTTAATCCATCTGGAATTAATTTGGGGTTTGTTATGATTCAATGTAACTTTGTTCTTTCCAAATGGTTAACCAGTTGTAAGATATTACAATGAAGTCTATGCTTAAAATTTGAAAATCTGTAATTATATTATGTTTCCTATTTTTTTTTAAGATTTTAATTTTCCTTTTTCTCCCAAAGCCCCCCGGTACATAGTTGTGTATTTCTAGTTGTGGGTCCTTCTAGTTGTGGCATGTGGGACACCACCTCAGCATGGCCTGATGAGCGGTGCCATGTCCGCGCCCAGGATTTGAACTGGCGAAACCCTGGGCTGCCGAAGCAGAGCACGCAAACTTAACCACTCGGCCACGGGGCTGACCCCTTGTGTTTCCTATTTTTGATATTGTATATTTGTCACTTTTCTTAAATTAAAGTTGCTAGATATTTGTTCATGTTTGTTGGTCTTTTCAAAGAATCTGCTCAGATTTCTTTCTCAATTTTATTATTTTTAAATCATTAATTTCTGCTCCTATCTTTTAAAATGTTTCCTTTCTCTTTTCTTAGATTTTTAAATGTCTTCTTTATAGCTTCATGGTTTGAATTCACTACTTTTTAACTTTTATTGTTTCTATTCAATAATAAAAAAAAAACCTGGGGCTATGCCTATTCCTCTCATTATAGCTTTGGCTAAATTCCATACATTTTGTATGGACTATTCTTACAGATATTACTTTCCAAACCATTTGAATTGCCATTTTATTTGTTCTCTGACAAAATTTTTTTAAAAAAGGTTTACAGTTTTTGAGTAGCTGGAGACTTAGTTTGAATAATTGTTTAATTTCTGATTTACTACATTGTGACCAAGAGTGTGGCCTGTAGATTTTTTTTAAGCTTTGGAAAATTTTGAGATTCTTTGAAGAGTCTAGTCCATATGTGGTGTTTCTTAAACAAAAGCGGGGAGGGCAGAGTTAGTTTGGAATTCCAATTTTACTTGTGTTTATCTCAAGTGTTTAAAGGAGATGTTTAATTTCCTTTTTTATGGAACCTGGAACTCACTCTTCTTTCTAACAGAAGTCTCTCTGCCACACTATTCTGTTCCCTTTATCTTCCTGCCTTTCTCCTCCTTGCCTCATGTTCCCTGACACATTAGGTCTTACCATGTCCTGTCCCACGTGGAATATAGTTCTTTGACTTTGGTTTTCTCCCTCAAATCTGTCCTTGAAACTGTTTACTATCTTCAAAAAGTGGTGGAGGGGAGAGAAACTAAGTAGACAGAAGAAGAGAGGAAAGACTCTGTAAACTTCTCCACTCCTCATTTTGACTCCTCACAATTAAAATCGTGACTACTCCTTTCTGTTTGTTGGTAATCATACACTATCCTTTCGATTGAAGTTTTATCTTGATGCATTTATGTGTTTGTCTCTAAGGTTTAAATGGATTTTTCCACTTTATATGAAACTATTGACCTATTATTAGGCTTAACCTACTTACATTTATTGTTATAATTCACTTATTTCATCTTAAATCTGCCGTATTATTTTGTGTCTCTGGTTTTTATACTTATTTGATTTTTCTTTATTTTTGTTTTTTAATAAAGAATATATTTTCTTTTCCTTTATCATCCCTAGTATGTATTCCATTTTAAATTCCAATAGCTATCGCTGTTAAGTTGTTCAAAAGCATTACTCATTTTCAAAAAGGTGAGGGCAGTTTAAACTCAGTGTTATCAACAGATAACCTGTGTGGATTGCCCTTGGCTCTATGCTTTATCCACCAGTAATGGTTGATTCCTGTTCTTTGTTCTATGGTTGAAAGGTGGATTAATATTCACAGCTTTCAATCTATTTTCCAGTATTTCTCAGGCTTTGACAATGTATCATTGCCATATTGAAGAGTCATTCTTTTCTCTCTGGTTCTATAATACTCTGAACCACTGGAATATGAAAAAGTCACAGCTCCAAGAATGCAGTGCTTCCAAGGTTCTTGCCACCATCACCCCAACTATCCCTATTTCTGGAGACTATCATCCCCCAGAATGTCATAGGCCATCATCAGTCCTCTTTTTTTTTGATGTCCTGTTTTCTAAAAGTTGATGGAGGAAGGGATATTGGTTGCTAACACAACTTTGGTTGCTTCACAGATCAACAGCGCTATGGGAAGAGGAAGGTGTGGCCAAGGTGAGTTCGCACATCTGGGGATCTGAGAAGCTGAGATGGCCTTTCATAGTTGTCCAGAGTAGGCAATGGGTGAATGGCACTTGATGCAGACTACCATGAGAAGGGGGCATGACTTTGAGTGAGGCAGCTGTCTTCAGTTAAGGCAATCCCTAAAAGGGCTCGGCTAACGGCTGTTGTGGCAGAACTCCAGCAGCTGGAGAATGATTTCTCTTGACCTGAAGGGGAATCTGGACAGACACCATTGTATCCACCTCATAATCACATCATTATTTATGGAAATATTGCGTGTTTTCTGTTTCTCCACTAGACTGTGAGCTTCATGAGAGCAGAAACTGTGTCTGTATGTTCAGTGTACATCTCTAGTTTCTAGCATAATTTGTAATAGACTTTTAGTACACATTATTGGATGGGTGATAAATGAATGAATGATACATCTTTAGATACGGGAAAGGGCCAAGGATGAGAGGAGAGGAACTGTAAAGAGGAGAGGAATCCCTCATCTCATATAAGAAAGATGTTACGAGATCCAAGAAAACTATTAAACGATTTTCAAATCCTTTAAAAAAAGATGAATTAGAGACTGTAGAGTAATTCCCCAAATCCCATTTGAGAAACGCAGCTGGAAATTGTGGGAAGAATATTTATGACTTTCAAATCCAAAGAGGGACATAAAACAGTTGTCTGGTGCAGTGATTTCTACCCTCCTGGGGCTTACAGTACACTGTCACGACTTCCTGATGTACCTGCAGCCAAATACACCCTACTACATTGCATGCATGTGTGCTTATTACTGTGAATTAAAATGAATTTGTGGTAGATAGATAGATAGATAGATAGACAGATAGATGGATCTCAGTATGTCTCAATATTTTATGCTATTAAGATACTTAGAAACACCTTGGAGCACCTAGAAAATCACACTGTGGGAGACTAGCCTAGAATTTTAACCAGAGAAGCCCACGAAGGGACCCTGTTTGGCTTCACTGTCTTTTATCCCATAAGCAGAGCTGCTCCCTCTGCTTGTGAGAGTCTCTGGAATGTTCAGTTGGTGTTGGGACCTGGCTCCAGACGCATTTGCTTCTTGCTTTCTCTGCTCCATGGCCTAGTCCCTTCTCGCTGAAGACTAACTCAATGAGCAAAGCAAAAAGAGGCCATAAAACTAATAAAGCCTGCAAAAGCTCAGGGAGATTCCCACCTCTCAGAGCGCACCCTTGGCAGATTTCACCTGCCTCACCAGCCAGGAGACCCGAGCTTTGAAATGCAGATTCTCTCTCTGTCTGAACCTCCTGTGGTGGGAAAATTGCACTATGTCTTCCCCACAGAGGGAAATAGATGGAATGGCCTTTCTTAACAAGAAATGTCCTCATCACAGATTCTTTCTCAGGCACTGTTCTTCCTGGCTCCATGTTAAAGTGAAAAGTCCACAGATGTCCAGCCCAAAGAGACCATTTCTTGCTTGCACTACCCTGGGCCACCTGTCCTTCTGAGAGGATAATTACTCTTGTGTATTGTGTCTCTAATTTGGTTTAGTATTTAATCTTCACACAGTCCTATGAGTAGGTACATTTACCTCTATTTTATGCCTGAGGAAGCTAAAGTAAAGAAACGGTATGTGACTTACCCAAGGCTATCAGCTAATAAGTGGCTGAATCAGAATTTATTATTATTATTTTTTGATCATTTATTCAGCAACTTCTTATTGCACACCCACTTTGTTCCAGGCTCTGACATTGCTGTGGTCTTCCAGAGAATGGGCCATCAGCAACATCATCACCACTTGCCTCCGTCTGGAGGTACTAGCAGGTAGGACTCTCCATCCCAAGACCTTTAACAATGGCCCGTGGAATCCCCTGAAACGTCTGGAGGGAGAGGGGAAGGGTGAGGCAGGGGAAAGGTTAGCGTTTTCAGAGGTCTCTGCAGCATCACAACCTGCTGTGGGCTGTCTTTCTGTAGACCCCAGGGAGACCCAATGCTGGCACTTCCCACGGTTTGTACCATGGCACTTTGGCATCTAGGCCAGGCATCAGTTGGATGATAGCGAAGCCAAGTGAAGCCTGCCACCCTCCGTGGAACTTGATTGGAGATTCTGCCCCAGGCTATTCCTAGAGTTATGCACACGTGTACCTGTGTATGAATATGGCAGCATGGATGAATCCATGTGTGCACATTGTGTATATCTGTGTGTGCTAGGGCTTTTGTGTGTGTGTTGTGCATGCCTCCTGTGCTTTAGGAGTTCCCTAGCATAGAAAGTGAATATCTTAATGACCATATTTGGCAAGCCACTTACCTCCAGCCTTTTCCTAGGAAATAAAAGCTTCTCAGGGCTTTACCACCCTGTGACTCTCCAAGCCATTTGGAAATAATCGTAATAATAGCCAACACACTGACCACTTAGTCTTTCAAGTACTGCTCTAAACAACTTTACAAGAGAAGTTGGCCTTAACTCATAGGACAGCTCAATGAGGCTTGAACTTCTATTGCTCTCTCTTTAGAGATGAGGAGAGTGAGGCCACCAGAGCCCATCTCAGGGTCGCTCTGTGTATAAGCTGTGGAGCTGGGCTGGAATTCAGGCCATCTGGCTTCAGAGCCTCCTCTCCTAAGCACAGTGGAGCTGAAGCATCCACAGCCCCTGGAGTGAGGAAACCACAGAGAGGAGATCAAAACTGAGCGAGAATGGAATCATGGGAAAACTGGAGGAGCCGACAGCAAATGGAGACCTGACCACCCGTTAGGTAAACCAAGTCAGGTGTTAGGAGCGAGATGGCAGGCAGGATGGGAGGTCTTCATAGATCCAGGTCTCTGAAGCTACCTCCTCTCCTCGTTGCCTCACCTTCCCTCCCCTTGTAGTAGATGGTTTCTTCTGGAAGCTTCTTTTGGTCAGTTTGCAAGGAAAAACACCACAGCGCTTAGTCTGCTAAGGGAATAAAAGAGGAGAAAACAGAATGAAAATTCCTATGCTTTTATTTTAGGGAAAATCATACTGAGACTTAAAAGATTTCTAGATTTTTTTTTTAATAAACAAGAAGACTATTTCTATCAGCTCTACTCGATTCCCCTCACACTAGTAAACTGTGAATTGCAAAAAAAGCACCCCTCACAGCCCCAGCTCATTGCGCAAAGGGGCCTTTTGCTCAGCACTGACTGACCCAGTGACCCCTGAGCTGGGTGGGTGCCCTTGTACAGGGCGCAGCCTGTGCAGCCATCCACAGCGGCCCCTCATGGAGTGCTCTCTCTCAGGCACTCTGCACAGCAAGTGAAAACACGTGTCCTGGGCATATAGATTTATTCATCTTTCCTGTATCAGTAAGGAGATGGACCCGTAGCACATTAAATATTTACAATGATCAGAGACAAGACAGCACACAGCAATGAAGGAAGATAAGAATACAGTTTTAAAATATTTACAATGAACACACTTTGCTCCTTCTGGTTCTTCTCTTTGGCCTGGCGTTTTAGGTCTCTGATCTCTTTATTGTATTTTCTTTCCAGGTCCTTTGTAGTTTGAAAATGTCCGACAGAGCATTACAACTAAATCTTAAGAGGACCATCATACAGCGAGAGACATTTTCTTCCTGTGCATCCAAGCAAGAAGGCCTGTTTCACAGTCTTTTAAGCTGATTCCTGAGTCTCCTACACACGCCTGAATCAGATGTGTGGGTGTTTCTGTGTCTGGTGTACCTAGAACAGGGCCAATGGGAGGAAGTGACGCGCTACTGAACCTGTACTAACCGCAGGGATTGGTTTGAATATTTAGAGTTACTTGAGACCTGAGGGTTAACAATGTGCTAGGAAGAGACTGGCTTATGATTCATTATTTCAACCCTAAAAGGTTACACCTTATTACATTCAGAAGCACAACTTCACTATGTTCAATTTTAATCTCTATTCTTTGAGACTCTGCTCTTTGCCTTTCAGATCTTGATACAACCAACGATCAAAATAATGGAATTTCAGCCTGGATGGGTTACACTAGCAACACCAGGGAGACAGAAGTGTCAGGAAAACAAAGACAGGAAAGGTAATTTGGCCGTTTGTTTAAATGTAAAGAGTACAAAAGAAGCTTCAGCTGTGAAATATTTGGCTATCCAGAGATGAAAGATCCCCAGCATTTAGGGTGGGATGCCAGAGAATTATCAGGGCTCACGGGCGTTTTATTTGATGGGTGTTGTATTTGACCTTGAAGTGGTGAGGCTGGCACTCCTTTGCGTCCTGGGGATCTCCTGATGTCCTTGCTCCCTCGTGGTATCTGCCCCCAGGCCTCTGAAGGCCTCGACTCGAGTATGAGGCTGTGCGCGTTTCTGGTGTGTATTTATATCGAGGTGGCTGTGTTGCCAAGGAGCTCTGAGAGAAAGCAGAGCAGAGATAACTTCTAATCCACCTTTCTGTGATAATGCGGCGCAAAGTGAAGAGACCCAGGGCTCCATCCCCTGGTCTGGCATTGCCCTGGGGTGGGGGCGGGCGGGCCCGTGGGGTGTTTTTAGCAAACCCAGCAGACACTGGGGTAAGCCTTTGCATTGGAAATTGTTAGCGACCATACCAGAATGTGACTGAACTGTGCAGCAAATAGAGAAGACTAGGAAGGAAGAGAAGAAGAACAAAAGCAAACTGCAACTTGTAGGCAGCAAGAAATGAATTTGAGTTCTCTTGTTCAGAGATTTGAACAGCTGGAGAATTAGAATCTGTGACGTTAGGACTAGCAACTTAAGAGAGCACTGGGGGGCTGGCCTGGTGGCATAGTAGTTAAGTTCATGCACTCTGCCTTAGTGGCCTAGGGTTTGCTGGTTTGGATCCCTGGTGTGGACCTACACACTGTTCATCAAGCCATGCTGTGGTGGTGTCCTGCATACAAAATAGAGGAAGGTTGGCGCAGATGTTAGCTCAGTGACAATCTTCTTCAAGTCCAGGGCTCTTTGCTCCATATTGCATGTACTGGGTGGGCTCCTAAACAGCAGTGAGGCGTTTTCCCCTGAGCTGTCCCCTGAGGATTCTCTCCTGATGGGCCATCAGTTCTGCCATCACGGGATAGGTAGAAGAGTCTGGAGCTCTGCATAGGAGTGAAGTTGGAGGAGGTGCGGGAGGGGGACTGTCCATCCTATGCACATAGGTTGTATATTAAGACAAAATGTGGAGAGTGGACACAACAAGGATCTAGCATCAGATAGACCTGGTCTTGCATTCTAGGCTTGAACTTGGGTGATATATTTAAGTTGGGGCGCCTCTGTTTCCTCAACTTTAAAATGGAGATCACGATGCGTTCTTCACAAACTTTTTATAAGGCTCACGTAAGAAAATAGACGTGAAAATCCCTTGCAATTGAAAATATACCTTACAATGGAGCTTTTGATTCTTGAGGAATTGGCTTTCAGTAACTCCTTTTCATAGTAGGTATCATGCATTGATAGCTGGCCAATTTTTATCCTCATCATCCTTATCTTTTTCTACTTCCCCAGATTTTTTCTCTACCTCAGTAGTATCCTGAGATGGGAAGGAGGACATGGGCTAGAAGTTATTATAAAGCCCATGCAAAGTACCCCCAGACAGCACCTTTCAGGTTGGGCCTTCCTTACGGAGACCTAAACAGGTCACCCTCCAAGGTGGGGTGGAGAAGAGCTGTGGAGGTCCCAGACCTTCCCCTTGAACTTCTGTTGTCTCCATTGCTTCATGGCACTAAAATCCCCTAGGACAGAATTGTCATTTCCCAAGGAGTTTTTAAAAAGGCAGTGGAATAAGAAAAAAATAGAGAAATGATTCACGACATAAAAGGAGCTGCATTAGCAAAGCAGCCACGACTAGCCATACAACTGAGCTCTTTTGGGCTCAGAATCTCAGCATCTGGAGTCGTCTCTCTCAGCAGCACTGGACTTTTAAGGTACTGGGTTGGATTACTAACCCAGTTTAGCCCAGTCCCAGCAATCCAGCGTGATCCTTCACAGGCCCTGAAGGGGTTTTGTGTTTGTTTGGTATGGAAGACATTCTCTGAGAGTTCTGGTCACAACAAACCCCTGAGATGTTCCAGCTTCTGGAATTCGTAGGATTCCTCTAGTTTATCTGGCTGATGGCCAAGGTCTGACTGTGGCTCCAGGAGGATAGCCTCCCTGGTCTGTGGACATCCGCAGTATCTTTCTATGAGTGGGCAGGCTGAGGAGTCCATCACTGGGGCTCCTAAGTGGCCAGAGGCCCTGGAGAGCTGGCAGTGGGCCTACTGGGCAATGGGGGTTAAAACTGGAGACAGGAGTGCATTGGATGAGAGAAACTATTGTTCTCTGAATACAAACAACACCATTCTGGCTCTCAGCTTTCCTCTTTATGGAGAATGCCTTCCTACTTCTAGCCACTTGTCTAGCCACTTCCATGCTCAAGCCCAAGCAAGTTTCACCTTCTTCGTGAACCCATTTCTGCTGATAAATATTTAGTGAGTGTTTACTGTGCGTCCATAGGTATTTTAACTCACGTTGACCTGTTCTGAAGCTGAGTAAAGGCCTTGGTCTGAGTTGGTTTCCATAGTCAATGAAAGTACAGAAAGGGTAGTAATGTCATGGTCCCTGGTTATCAGTCTGCTAGAAACAGGACTTCAAGCAGTGGCTAGGGGACAAGAGACAAGATATGTGAGCCCCAACTCCCAACATCTGGAGAAGAACTGGTAAGCCCAGGCAACTAGAGGTGTCAGGGCCATATCGGGGTCTAGTGCAGGATGACTGCATCAATGGGGGATTCAAGTGAGGGACAGGAAGCTGAGCAGGAGTATATAGGGACCATCTCTGAGAAGCTCGAAGAAGGTCCAGTGGACAAATTGGTGCTCAGAGCAGGAGATGCAGGCCTGGGGTGGCAGGACTATTGCAGTCCCTATCAGGAATGACTGTGGAACAGGGTATAGGCGGGCCTGCAAGTAGAATCAGGGAGACCTTCAACCACACAGGTGTGAGTCCTTTCTCTAGGCCTTTTAGATTCTATCCTCCTTTGAAGTACAGCTCAAGGCCACCTTCTAAAAACAAAGTTTCCTTGGTCTCTCCCAACTACAAAGACTTCTTCCTCTTCAGATTCCCTAAAGAGTTATCCCTCCATCTCTCTCACTTTGACCCAGAAGAATGTCCTGCTCTGTTTCTTCTACCCCTGCATCTGAGCCGAAGCAAAGGCAGGTGCTAACTAAAACACTCATTGGAAATGTTTTGCACATTGCACCTGGCCCCAAAGTTACTCCACATCAGATAAGTACTTTGCAGCTCCTCATTGCCAGCCACGACACACTGTGGGCATCTGAGGTCCTAGCTGACTTCAGACTCCAGCTCAATGGGAACTCCGTGGCTGCGAGGCCCACAGGTCCGCTCAGCCCAAGAGCAGTGCTGGACTGAGCTGTTCCAGGCAGCAGACCCGTAGGAGCCTTGCTTCTTTACTTGAAAAGATACTCTGAGTTGACTTTATTTTAAGAAATACAGTTTGCTTAATGACTTTTAGAAGTCAGAAAAGGTGGGAAAGAATTTAAAAGCAGAAAAAAAAAGCGAGAAAGAGAGATTCTACTTGAGAATATCGCCTATTCCTCCATTGACATTTGCCTTTCCTCCAGATTCATTCTTGACTGCATCCTGTCCACAGAGTGACACTCTGCCAGCCAGACTTTGTCACCTGCTGGGCAACTCACTCAGGGCTCCTTGGTTCTGTCTGGAAAATCTCTCCTTCTTTCTCTCATCCTTGTCTCCCATCCCCCTTCTCCCAGCTCGGAGCCTTTGTTGACGTTGACAGCTCATCCCTGGGCCATCATTCATCCTGCCCATGGCAAACTTTGGAGAAAATAAAAAACCCTGCTCCCCTAATCTCATTAGATGGGTTGCAAATTGAATTTAGCCCCTCTCAGTGTCCCCTCAGCTGGCTGTCATTAGGAGCAGAGGCTGGGCCTTGGCTGAGACCCAAAGACCAGCTAACTGAATTTGAGATGCTGTGGTCTTGACAGGCCAAGGGAGGTAATTGAAGAGCCGTGGGGCTCCTGGTAACATTTCAGGCTGGGATTACACTGGGGATCCGAAGCCCCCATCTGCATTGGTGTCGGGAGCACTAAAGAGTCACCCACTGGGCTTCCAGGGGTCGGATTATTGATAAAGAGATCATTCCCAATGGAAGGTGGGGGAGCAATGGGGAGGCTGCATTTGGTTATGATGCAAAGTGGGTGTTATAGGTGAGGGGAAAGGGAGACCCTAGTCAGTGAGGGTCAGCAAATCGCCCAAAGTTAGACATAATTTGCAGAGAGTGTTGTCTAATGAAACGAAAGGCAGTTTGGGGACACTAACAGATAAACCCACAGAATATGAGGAAAAGAAATATTGAGTTTTAAATTGTGGACAGTATTTAAATGTTTGTATAAATCTTAATATTTTACTTCCTGAACCATTTTAGCTTTATTTTTTCACCTCAACACTAAATCCCAAGCATAGAGGAGCTTTTCTGTGATTGAAAAATCACACTCTTGTGAAAAAGAAATGTACCAAAAAATTGCATCCATGTAATTAAGCATTTAACAGAGGTGCATGTGGATGACAGACACTGATTTAGATTTCGGAGGCCCTCTTAGTTCCCAGATCCATTGCAATTTCAGTGCATTTCAGTGTGGTTGAAAATTCAGTGAAATCTTGTTTTAAGGAAGAAGAGATAGACAATAATTAGCCACCTACTATGTGCCAGGCACAGCACTCAGCTTATTATATATATTATCTAACTTGGTGTTCAGGGCAACAGAACTTGCAAGATGGGTCTTACTGCGATTAGTAGCCCCACTTTATTGATGAGAAGACTGAGTCTTTAAGAGATTAGTCAGTCCTTTGCCCACAGTCATGGGATAAGCGCTGGGACTGGGATTTGAAGGGAGGACTGCCTGGCTCCACCACTCCAGAGGCCTCCTTATCTTAGGATAGTGGTAATTTTCCCATTCTGTTTCATTTCCCTAAAAAAGCCACAGTGGCGAGGTCTGTCACTCAGAGCAGTAAGGGTGGGAACAGAGGCTCAATTCCACTGTGTACTAGGTGTGTGACCTTGGGCATTTCCAGATCTCTCTGTGCCCTCCTGGAAAATAGGGATAGTGACAGGCCTTGCCTCACTGGTTTCCTGGAAGGATTAAATGAGCTAATGTACATCCAGAGAGCACTGCACAGGGCCTGGCACATTGTTAGC